GTATTTGGTAAGTTTAGTCAGTCTTTATCAGTAATATTTTAAGCTGGTTAACGATGTTTCCACTCTTGAAATTTTATTACATTTCACCGTCGAGTCAAAAGTATGAAAATATACATTCTACATTTCTAAATATTTATTATTGATTATTTTTATTATTGAAAATAACTAATTATCACCGACCTAGAAGGTAATAATTAATTTTAGTATTGTTTAATTTATTTTTAATACTTGGATTAAAAGAGAATTGTGAAAATGTGTGGTTTATAATTTTGAAAAAATCAAACTTTAACTTTTTGGATCTGAAAAGTTAATTGMAGCTTATTTTCATATGTTATTTTAGATTTAATTAAAACTTTTCAAAATTATGACTTGATACGAATCCATACTCGTTGTCATAATAATATATTAATTATTATTAACACAGAACATTAATCGAATCGGATTTCGATTACACAACAAAAAACATCACTATTTACTGATAGTGAAAACGTTTTGGACTATAATAATATAGGCATCATAATATAGTGTTCTACATTATTACATTTATTACTCGAAAGTATTATCTAAATTGTTACTGTCATTCTCATTATACAATTTATGGTGTTTTTTATCGCACTTAAATGTATTTATTGTRCTGGACTAAATATACTGACCCAATTGACATGCCATCTAGTGGTAGTAATAATGTAGTATCAATACTGGAAATAGTAGAAATCATACCAGAATTGAATAATGTTTAAAAGCAAAATACTATTATATAGATTTATTTTAAATAATACTACATGAATAATTATGTTAGAGTATTGAAGTATTAATAGTTAATACTATACATATCGAGAAAAAATAAACTTTCAACGTTGTATAAAAATTATTTATTTATATTGTAATTATTATAAGTAATTTTATTTTTAAAATGTTTTAGTTAAATGTATTATTTCCATATGAAAACGAACATAAAATTATATGTAGGTATTTTCTTAAACCTATATAGTATTTCATGTTMATTTATTTCAGACTTTGGTAGTACTGTTTTTATCAATATAATTTATAATTAGCAATCAATTTTAAGTCAAGTAAAATAATGTAATATAGGTAATAAATGAAACATAATATATATTTTTTTAATACGTAACTAAAGTATATTAGTATGTTTCATACAGGAACTARTGATAATTAATATTCTACCTGTATTATGTATCTTTTATTAGTACCTATATATTATCCATTATTTGATTTTATAATTTTATATTACAAATTTAATTTTGATAATATAATAATATATAGATATTTATATACAATATACCTAGAATGATTAAAGTAATTGTATGCTTTCTAGGTTTTGTGATTCAAAATGATTTAGGAAATAAAATCTCTGATCCTGAGTATGGGTTAACAGAACAATGCAGTCAATGGCATGTTTGGAATTTTACAAGTAAGAAGAATGTCCGTTTTCAGGAAAGACATAAGAGAAAATATGATAGGGTGAGGAAAATGATCCTAATATAGTATTTTACATACCCACAACGTTTATTAATGCTTTAAGGAATGTAATGGGTTTGTAAAATTTCAATTCGCTTATGACCTAACAAGAATACAAATATTATTTTATTTCGGATCTTAATGGTGATAAATTTAATTGATAGCATAATATTTAATTAATGTTATAGTTTATTTAATTCTAATTTCTATTTTTCTAATACGAAATATGTCTAAATTCGTTGTCTAAAAGTTCGTGACAGTATAAAAGAAACACTTAGAGCAAATACATATTGTAATGTAGTAATACATATTATATGATTTAAATTTTTTAATATATTTGTTAGTAAAACAGTAAAAAATATCAAAATCACAACAAATATGCGGAATATAAATATGTGACTATACTGACAAACGTTTTCGTTAGTACAGACCATTGAGATGGCCATATCAGGTTACTTTATATTATTTAAGTAAAATTACAGCGACTGAGTCCCATACGCCCCCCGAAACTTTTTATCGATTCCAACTGTTCCTACTCCACCGTCGCTCCACTCAAATTCCCCGCAGTCGAAGACTATGTACATGCCTACTATATATACACCGCTGACCCATCTTTAACGTTTTTACAAAACAGTGTCAACAGTACTCTTCCATTGCAGTACTTCGTCGACTGTATTATGCATGTTATAATAATACATATAGTGTATACATTTGTGTGTGTTGTATTTTTGCTAAAAAAGTTTTTGTGTATAACAAAAAATAACTCTTTTTATCGTGTGTGGAGCGCACGATGTATTTTAGTGTYGGTCGATTACCCCTACAATATTATAATATTTTATACATTATTCATGCGCGTATATTATGACGTGTTTTTAATTTGTATTATTATTTTCTTTTTTTTTTACGTGACCCCGCATTGTTTTTTTATAAGAGCTTACGCCGTGTCATATGATAACAAAATATATGTTTGTCTTTTTTTCGGTCGATGCAACTACTGTGTACACTGTACACAATATCGAATTTCACCGGAAAACATCATCCATCACTGTAATATGCGGGTAAAGACGAATCGACGAATTTAAACGATTTCCACCCGCTCACTTCGCACTGTCGTGCAACGACCGAAATGGATGATTTTGTGGGCAGATCGATGACAGAATATAGTCCAATAATAATTGAACGTATACACACGACCGCAGTTCGGTCGGCGTTTTTGCGCGTTGGGAACCTTAACGGGCATTATACATTTATAGCGTCAGTGTAATCTCTTTTGTATTGTTAATGAGACAGCAAGTGCCATAATGCAGCTGTGTGCGTGCCACTCATCGTGARACGGGTAAAGTACGGCGGCTGTCCCGTCTCCCTCTCGTCCATCCACCGACCAATCCATGCAAATAACAATAATAATAATAATAATAATAATTGTGTGTAAGTGGTGGGGGTGGGAGGGGGGCACCTGTCAACAAAATTCGCAGCCAGACCAAAACCCCAATTACACGTCGTCATAAAGACGTCGACAGCGCTGCGCGTGACGTTTATCGGGGCTAAAAGCTGCAACTCGACGACGTCCGCCGCGCGCGCGTGTGTTGGACGTGTCGTTTGATCGAGTAAGAAATACTCACGTACCTACCTAATAATAATATTATTATTATGCTGTCAAATTCACCGAGAATGCATTTTATTTTTCCCCGCTGTATATCTATAAAACCGTCATTCACCATCATAATAATTAATAATATTACACCGAGATTATAATTTTCCGGTTTTTTTTTCCTTTTTACCTTTTGACTTTTGTCCAAGCGGTTTGCGTGCGACGGTAACGACGTGGTCGCTGTTAACGCGTGCAGTTTGCAAGTTACTGCCGCTGCTGTTGCTGCTGCTGCAGTGACCGCTATGAGTTTTTCTGTTCGATGCGTTTGGCGTTGACGGCGGTTAAAACGGAAGTAGAAAAACGATTTTCACAAATTTTTACAGCTGCTCGTCGATAGATATAATATTATATTGTTGTAATATACAATTATAAAAAAGAAGACGGAGTATACGGAGGCGACAGGGTGCACCAAAACAGCGCTTGACGTGCACTTTCGACGCGGAGGGGTGAGTGACTATTATATATACACTGCGGACAATAAAGCTTGGCGTTACGCGCGAGTGTGCGTGCGCTCGTTTTTTCCGCGACTGTCTGTGTGCGTRAATATTGCTCGCGTATATATGGTGGCTAAGGCGCAAGCTCGGCAGGGAATCCGCAAAAGTCGAGTGGCGTTTCTATATGTAACAACACAGGCGAACGTATCGATATTCCGATGGCGCCGCCGCTGCTACCGCCACCACCGCTTCGAGGTTCGGCGAGCACGTCATATCATTTAATGTAATGTTGTATATTGGCCCACGGCGGTCGTTTCCTTCCYGTGTAGTGGCCATCATTGGTGTCAAATACTCAAATACTATATATGACGGTCACCCATCCTACGAATGATACATGTTATGCCTGCAGTGTATATATAGTGCACTGCGATTTAATGTATATTATAGTGTACACAATGTATAATATATGACGTGCAATGTACGATGGATATATTATATACGAAAGTAGAAAACTGGCTGGTTTTGTGCAGTGTGATGAATTCCAATTTCTCGTGCTTATTCATATACGGAGATATTCAATATAAATGATATACCTTATATAATACTATATAGTCTATAGGTATCAGTTTGTGGCAAGCGACTAAGTTTCCCAAATATATATTGAATATAATAATTAACGTAAATATTTTCTTTGATTTTTGCTATGGCTGGTGTCGCAGGTTTCTAATACTCTCAAATATACCGGGGGTAAAAATATACTAGGTTATTTTTACCGGGGGTAAAATAAACCTAGGATAATTTTACCCCCCTTATAATTTTACCGGGGGTATAAATATACTAGGTTTTCTTTACCCCCGGTAAATATATGTTACACCGGCACTACCTTCGCGAGGCCCTGCAGGGCAAAACTTATTCAACCAATATATATACCTTTAGYCTTTAGCCTACGCGATTTACGTATAAAATATTTTTCAATGCAAATTTTAAGCGCTTGCAGGCCCTGGACAAATGCCCCGCTTCCCCCTCCCCCTCTTAACGACTGCCCAGGACTTGGCATGGCTATAAGAACGATTATTATTGCTGTAAAGTGCAAGACTCTGTCGTTAACTTACTGTATATTATTAAGCTGATTTGGTACTTGTAAATCTAAATAATTCAAAACATGGTCCTTATAAAGTAATATATTCTAAAATTCCAATATTCAGAGTTCGAATAAATACATTATTAAAGAGCAAAATGGTTAWGTKCATGCTTGGTGAATCAAACATACTGAATAAATATTATAGGTACATACAAATATATTGATGTGAATGTGAATATATATTTATCACAACTCACAATCCGTTTGTAAGTATACCAATTTAATATAGAATGGTGTAAGAGAAATGATCGCATAGATTAATAATAAGGAGAAAATATGAGGGATATAGTTCCCCCTCAAAAAAAAAAAAATAATAATAATAATAATAAATAAAAGTTGGTCTAAGTTGTACCTATAATCTGTATGTTTAAATATACTGAAAGGATGGACTGCAATTATAAAGGCCTATACTGTCTTAAAGTTTAGAGGAGGCCCTAGTTTTTTTTTATACAAGGTAGGCCGTGGTAATTTTCAAAATTTTAAATTAAAGCTAAATCTTTAATTTATTAACTTTTGTCAGCGCAGTTATTAAGTAAGCCTATATAGTCACTACATATTATATAAAAAAGTGTTTTATATACCTATATGTGCCCATGAATAAATTATTTGAGTAAAGTACGAAACTTTTCGTTAAAACTTATAATACAAAAATCAAGGTATCATATTTATTATAATATAATATAAATATGTATTATATTTTAATTAAATTATTATAGAACTAAAAAATCTAGGTTAAAATTATGCAATCCTATAATTTATAGTATTATATGCTATTGTTAGGAATTGGCAATCTTTGTAATCATGTTCAGGGTTACGAAAGCTTGACTTTTCGAAGAGCAATAGGCCTAATAATTTATTTCATACCAACCATGTAGTGTACATTTATTTTATTATCTATAGAATATATTATTTGTTATTATTATTATTATTATTATTATTATTATTATTATTTACTATTATTGGACTATTTTTAATAATTATTGTTACCTATTTGACATTTATCTTCAAAATATTTAAACACAAAATAGGTAGGTATAGGTAAGTAATATACACAATATACAGATACGTATTTTCAGTTATAAAAAAGCGGGTAAGTGGGTGTAGGCGTGTCGCTCTGCTGTGCGGTAGGTTATTACAAGTGGATCACTATTTATCGTAATTGACGATATATTCAATTTGAATTCAATAATAATATAATTGTATAGTGTGTAATACAAAATACGATTCTGAGCGGAGACGGTTTGTCGTCATAGGATATTTTATATTATATTTATATTGTTATTATTACTACTGTAGTCTGTAACAGGTAGATTAAATTAATATTATTTACATATTCGATATTATCATATTTGTATATAATAATATATTTCAATAATTTCAAGTACCACAAATAATATTCTTAAATTATAAAAATAAAACTAAAATCATTATTCTTGGTTTAAAAATGTAAACTTAAACTTTCAAACTTTAAATAACAATAAAAAATTAACTGTGATTAGTGGTTACAGAATGGACTAGTTACGTGGGCCTTGTTTAACATTTTCAATTCTTCGCTATAAAAGATGAACGTTTTATAAATTTTTAATTATTAAATAATTTGTAAATTTTCAAATATTGCCAAAATTTGAAACTTAAATCTTTATATTATTTTTTTTTTTTTAGTGCTATTGTAACAATATAACAATATATTATGAGCTTTACATTAAATTTTCCAGTTTTTTGACCCAACTAATACAATTTTATTGACATTTACAGAAAAAAACTAAAAAAAAAATATGAAAAATTAAAAATGTCAGTTAATAGCTAAAAACAATTCAAATTTTTTTAACAATTACTTATATAGGACATGGTTAAATATACATGTGGTGTAAATCCGCGTGGTGCGCGTATCTACAGTTATTTTTTTTTTTGAACCACAACAAAATAGAAAAATCGTTCCATGTGAATTTTTACTAACAAAATCCTTGTGGATGTTCCATGTGAGTTTCTTGTCGAGAAAAACACTAGCACTCCATGAATATAGATGAAATTGTATCATAATATTGCTATTTTTTGCATATTGACGCATTTAAGGTTTTAAATGATTTTTGCGAGTTAGTTTTTGTTAATTTGCCATTAAAACGTTTTATTATGTATTTTCATGAATTATCAATTATTTTAATTATATATTTTTTGAATCCGTAGGAAAAATAGTAAATTCCCACATTTTGATCAATATTAAAATCTATTTTAAAGTATTCCTGTAAATTGGTGTATCGAACAGTAAGCAATCATGATTCCTTATCGGTTATATAATGGTGCGCGTATTCTATCGTTCATTCATACCTATTTTTTTTTAAATGTTTTCATTTTTGCTATTTTTCATGTCTTTAGGACATATTAAGCTCTTATTTTCAGATTTAATAGGCCATATAATAGCGCATTATTGAAATATTATATTTTAATTTAGTTGGTACCCTGCATGTACTCGTAGATTATATAATATATAATAAGTAGAATAGTTATACTGTAGATTAGCTGTATAGTAATACGCTTATATAGAAAGCAAAAATGCAAAGATGACATATTTTCAATATTGTGTGTGGCAAACTTTGGGGGTGGTACCTAGCTATAGAGAAAACTCGAAGCATTATTATAAGAACAATTTTAAGTGCGTTTGAATTTTAAATTTTTACGAAATAGCGTAACGATAACGATTTATCCTGAAACGATTTTAAATATTTGTTATTATTCAAAAAGTATAAGTCGTAGA